CTCAAATTGACCTATAGTACCTATAATATACTCCCTTGAGTATATTATAAATCTCCTATTCTATAAAAACCATGAGGACAAAATGTCAAAAAAAAGCCAAAAATCGATCAAATGAGTAAAAAATGAAACTTGTCGGTGAGAAATTGAAATACTGTGGACTCGGAATACACAACAATAGCAGGTGGGACGGCAAGCACCTCCTCCTCCTCCTACCACTCTAGGGTCGGTAAGTGTCGGCCTATCGACAAGTTCTCCAATGACTACTGCCTCCTCATCCAAGCCCTTCAGAACCCTCATCACCTCCTCCTTATGTTCAATACCAACGCACAACACCTGTTAATAAGATACCTCCTTCTACCCCTTCCTCACACAAACAACATACCATTCCAATGCCAACATTAAAGGTGCTTGCCAGCTCAGTGCAGTCCAGTTTACCCTGAGTAACGCACCATCTGAGGTAGAGTCATAATACGCTCGTTTTCAATCTAATTCCTATCCACCTAAAAACCGCGGGCAAATCCCACGTGTCGGCTCTGATAACAGCTTGGACGCTTTCGGGAAGCATACGAGGAATATTTTGGAAAAGGCCACCACCAGTAATGTGCGCAGCCTGAAGAAAAGATACGCCATGGCTCAACCAAAAATATCCAAGGTTCAACCGCACAAGATACACATCATGTCCGCTCACGTAATCATACAATCCCAAACCAGAATACCCCTTTCAATATCCCCGGTCCAAGCCTGACCAGCTCCAATATGGTCTTAACGTAAATTTTCGTGGGGGTAAGCAGAGAAACACCGAGAGTAGTGGTGGGGTCGTAGGGCGCAGGGTCGGTCATTTTCACTCCGCTGATCTGAAAAAATAGAAATATTCGAAGTATAGTGAGTTTGTCCGCTCGCCCTACCTCGGCAATCTTGCGGACCAAACTGAATCCGTTTGAGTGAACTCCCGACGATAACAAGCCAATCAAAACCTGCGCGAAAAAATCCGAAAACGGATTAAATTACCCGCCTTACATCGCCGTGCTGCATCGAATCCTTGTCAGGCAACTTGAGCGCCTTCTCCTTCACCCCCACCACGAAGCCCGCGATATCATACCTGATCACATCCTCCTCCTCAACACCACACACCACTTCCCTTCTACTCTGCTGCATTAGCGAACAAGCCCGGTAACTCAGCCGTCTCCCCACCCAGCAACGT